GACTGGCACCACCCTAAGGAATTCGCAGTGTTTGCTTGCTGGCTTGGGAAGTTTAGATTCACTCTGGCGAGATTCTGTCCTGTAGGTGAAAACTAATAAACGCTATCGAACTATATCTGTACTGTCTTGTGGAGTTCTTTGGGCTGAACCTAACATCATGAGCTTCTCAACTCACCCATCTGGCTACCCACGCCTGCCTGTGGCACCGCAACAGACCTGGCCTCGTAGACCACTCAAGCTGCGTTGCTGCTAAAAGGCCGCAGAGTGATTCCCAGGCTCTCAGAGAAGTTCCACATGGGGCTACCACCCAATTAAGAAGAAATCTTGGGCAACTTATTTCAATTCATTAATTCTCCACAAGTCCTGACAATGCCAGTTCTGATTTTTATGAAATGGGCTCGCTTAATTTCGAACACTGGCCAAGATATAATATGATTTGCTTTGTTTCCAGCCCCGTGTACAGTGTGAACCCAGACAATAGTGGTTTATCCAGTTAACCATGATTGCTTCTGGAAATGGACAAATGGGTCCTCCTCCAAGCCTGTGTAAACTTTGTAAAATTCATTACTCTTATTATCTTGAACTAAGATTTGCTTTTTTAGGGATACTCTGGGATACTCCTTGGATGCTCTTTCAGGGGTCCTCCAAGGAGCTGAATGACAATGCTTAGCAGCTCCGGCCCACGGAGCCAAAGGAGGGGGTGCCGGAATTGCAGTTCAGCAAGTGGAGGGTCCGAACACCTGAGGAATCCTGGAAATTGAAGGAAGAAGAAGCATCACACAAGCCTGTGGCCTGTTTCAAATCTTCCAATTTGATGGAGCAAAATGTGATCTGAACTGGGGCAATGATGAGACAGTTGATTTCAGTTACAGGTAGTCCTCACTTAACAACCAACGGCATCTCTGCCGTTAAGCGAAGTGGTTGCTAAGTGGGAAATCACGTGACTGTGACCATGCTTTCCAGCTGGAAAGAGACAAGATTACTCAGTTTCACACTTTCGGCTTTTGTTTGCCTCCTAACCTCTCCCTGCCCTTTGCGGTGCTCGAGTGCCTGCTTACTGTCTTGTACATATCAAAAGCAATGCAATCACCCTGCAGCCGGGACTGGGAGCCGTGGGCATGCTTTGCAAACAGCTTGCTCTCTGGAAATCCCTTCCTCTCCAATCTCTCCATTCTGCGAGGGGGAGGGGGGAGAAAAAAGGCAAGAGATTTCTGTAGGCAATCTCTCCTTTGCCTGACCCTTTCCTGCTGCCGGCGCAATCACATTGCTTTCAATGTGTAGAAAAGCAAACAGCTTACTCCCTTGCAATCCCTTCTTTTCCAATCTCTCTGCTCTGCAAGGGGGAAAAAAGGAAAAACCATAGGTCAGGCGCAGGACAATGTGTACTGACTGTAATGGTGATCACGTGACTGAAGGACACTGCAAAGGTTGTAAATGGGCTGTAAAATTATTTTTTCAGCCCTGTCGTAACTTTGAATGGTCGCTGAAGGAACGGTTGGTAAGTAAGGACTACCTATAGTGTTTTCAATTAAAAAAACAGTGCTAGTGAATTCTGCAATCAGAATCTCTTATTGCAAATCACAGTCAAGAATTCCAAAATGCTCTGATTTAACTATAACAAGTTCGTTTCAGAAATGCACTCAAAATGAGGAGTAGGCATTGCCATAAATGTTGGAAAGAAGTCTCAGTAGCTTTGACACCAGATAGTCCCTTCCAGCCCGGCTGCTGAAAGGAGAGCTGAGAGCATCAAGTGGCAGTGGCTCCATTCCTGCCCCGATCACCAGCCCCATAGGGAGCATTTGGTGATCCTTGTCCTATCTAATGCAGTTACACTATAGTGCTCCACACAGCAGCTATAACGGCACCTCTCAGAAGATGTACTAAATACTCAGCTAAAAATAAACACATCAAAAACTACTGATCAGTTAGAGTTTGGGAAACTATGGTTAGGCAGGAATAAACAGAGCCCAAGTTCACTCCCAAAGCCAACAATCTTGGATGAAACACCCCCTAAGTCGAGGCTAAGCAGCACCTTCAGTGAACATGCAGTGGGAGAAGATCTGTGGAATTATTGCGTAACGAAGTGATCTTCCTCATGCTGGCTTCTTATTCCTTGTCAATCTTGCAGATTCTTCCTTTCAAGACATCATCTTCCTGAAAAATAAGGGCGTAGATTACATTTTACCTGTTAATGGGAGCAGAGAGCATGGTCCTCAGTCTCATCCTGCTTCATATTCACTTTCTAACCCTTCCTAGCTATATTCTTACTACTAGTAGTAAGCTTTGCACAGTATTGCTTACTCTGATGAAGAATGGCATGATGAATATGTATGTATGCATAACTTATGTTTAAATTCCTGAGATTGAGAAATTTTGACTTTTAAGTGAAATCTCCAGATATCTGCAAAAGAAATCTTCCTCTGCGATTGCAGCCCACATTCCATTATTTTCAACACCTGCTCAGCTGGACATACCAAGGTCATCCCTACCCACACGTTCTCCAGAAATTTCTGTCCAAGGCTTAAAAACAAACAGAAGGGTGTCTGGGATATTCCGTGAGTGGGAGAAGAAAACTTCTGCAGATTTTTTCTGTTGTGTCTTTAGTCAAGAAAGAGGATGTGGCATGCGTTTACAGGTAGTTGAACTGATAGCCCGGCCAGTTCTGTCAACTGTCAATTCTCCATGAACCTTCTCAGGCAGGTCCTTCAGTGAGAAATGCTGTGACTGATGTGCAAAGCAGGTGCTCTGTTGCTGGGCTGTGACCTTCCCCCCATCCCCCAAGCTTACTGGATTCAACTTAAGGCTTGATCCTGAATCAGACATTGAGGTGAGTGACCCAACATTATCTGGAGCTCTCGGCTCTACGACTCAACAGATGCCAGAGGTTTTGTGCGTGTGAACAAAACATCTCACAACAGCATCTCTCCTGGACCTTTTCATATAAGGGAAAATAAAATGTGTTCAGAAAAAAAATATCAGACGTAGTGGCTAACTCAAGAAGGCAGAAGATAGCTACGAAACTGAAATCCTCTTCAAAAGGAAAGGATGAGACAAAGGTTCAGGGAAGGTGAAACCAGGCCCTCTATCAGTTACCCCCACATTCTGGCTGGGTCCGCATGCAACCACCGAGGAGGACTGAAGTGGCCCACACTGTTCTATCTGCTGCCAAAAGTTTGACTCTTTCAAATACTTTTGCCTCACTCTTCAGTTGAAAGCCCACTTCAGTTAAAAGAAAGTAACATAGAATTGACTCTAAGTGGCCAATCAAGGTCATGCAGTTTTATGAGACGACGATGATTACTTCTACAAGATGTCATGCAGTCTCTCCTGAAATCCTAGGAAATTTAGCAGAGAGAGATACAACCTCGAACTAAGGATGAATTTCCTGACTGTGGGAGCTAAGCAGCAGCAGAAAAGCCTCCCTCCTGCGTCATGGAGGCTCCATCCTTGGAGGTTTTCAAGTAAACGCTGGACGGCCATTTGCCTAGGATGGTCTGAGGATCCCTGCACAGGGCAGGGGGCTGGACTAGGAGACCCCCAAAGGTCCCTTCCAACCCTATGATTCTATTAACCCTGGGCATGAGAAAATAGGTACACAAAACATCAATGACCTCAGCAGCAAACCTATTTTTGGCTTACTCATTTAGAACAACCAGAATAATAATCATCTCTAATTTATTTCTTATCCTATAAACTAGTGGTTCTCAAAGTTGGTTCAGGGACTGCTGGGAGTCCGCAAGGTCAACTAAATATTTTTTAAATTTCTTAGTTTTAATTTCTAATACAGTAAATATCAATAGATATAAACACATAAACCAAAGCTCTTTGTGGTCCTCAATCATTTTTAAGACTGCAAAGGGGTCCTGAGACCAAAAAGTTTGAGAACCGCCAGCGATTCCTACTTCTGGTCCGCGGATCAGTTGTGGCATCCAAGGATATTGCAAGTGATCTGTGATATAGGCACTAAGATATTTTTTAAAAAGTGGCTGAAAACTTACAAGACTGTCAATTTCACATGATTTTGGTGTTTTCACCTGTGAGATTCCAAGCAAGTACAGTATAAAATATTGCAAAGCTTAACGCTTTTGTGAGAGTTTAGCCCCTTGAATTTTCTAAAATTAATTTTGCAATCAGAACTCATGACCCTGTTGCAGAGGAGGTGCAGCAATTGTGTGAGACCCTGGTAGTTATGAGGAGCACTGTTCTGCGGGTGGCTGAGTGTTATTTGTAAGGCTGGGCCTAAAGGGACAAGCGGAGTGGGGGTGGGGGGAATCCCCTTCTCCACCCAGCTGCACAGTAGCATCCCTACTGAATTGATCGCCCCGCAGGGGCAGCTATGGATTCATCCAGGCTGCTAGTCCTGAGTTATGTTAACTTCCCTAACCTAGAGTCAGAGGTGGCTTCAGAATTCATGGCCACCATAACAATCATGGGTTTGTCCTGGGCCTCCATGGGTCTGACCCAGAGAACTGGCCTGGTTTTGACCCTGGGTCAGATGAAATGTGATGTGTTGGGGGGACATTTCCATCAGTCCCTCACTGTGGACTGATAACTTCCTCATGAGGATGGGGATGACTCCGCAAGGAGGACATGCCCACTCTGATGGCCCAACTCAGACCTGATGGATCTCGAGGGTTTCCTGACCACACTTAGGGAAGGCAGCTTCTGTTAAATGCCTGGTTGGCTTTTGGAACACAGAAGCTGGCGGGCACCAGACTGAGACTGTTTCTTGGCCGCCTCTCCATGCCCACCAATACAGGGCAAAGTCCTTTGTTTTCTGACTCACTCCAGGAAATGAAATGGGTGAAGAAACACTTACGCTAGTGGAGGATAACAAGCGTGACCAGACACAGGTACAAGCTCAGATTTACTCCGTGGCAACAGGGGTGCTGAAGAGAAATTATTCCCCACCTTCGCTCCATCTGCAAACGCTAGTCAGCCGCTCTGTTTAAGGTAACTCACAACCTTCTTTGGGGAAACGGTCCAGAAGGACCAATCAGCGCAAGTCACGATCACCCGGCCGATCATTTTGTGGACAAATCCACCCGATCTGCTCCAGGTGGACGGGCCCAATGAGGCGTCAGAGGTCTGCCTTGGATCAGCTTATATCGGACAACTGTTGCCTTACATCCAACCTCCCTTGTGGGGAAGACTGTGGAGAAAGTGGTGGGGCAAGGGCTAAGGAGAGCCCTACAAAAAACGGGCCCCTGTATTCATGGCACTCGGGATCAGAGCGCCCAGAAACTGCAGTGGGCGCAAAGGGCAGCGGCCCCACGTAACGCCCCTGCTGCGGGAGCGGCACCTGTCACCGACTCGTTTCCGAACGCGACCGAGCCGCTGCGGCCCGGGCCCGGCGTCTTCACGAGCACCCTGCGAAGGTCTGCTCCTTCCAGACTGGGCCGGGAGGGGGCCAGAGGCCGGCCTTCC